GGATACGCTAAGAACTTTCCCGTTTCAAATTTTCTCCTTCAACTAAAATTGAAACTACAATCGAAAAACTGACTGCTTATTTGCATGTATTCCTTTTCTGCAGATTTTCAAACAGTACAGTGCCCATTTTCTTCACGAATATCACGGGTAGGTAGAAAGATCAAGGATTGCAATGTTACTGCGTTAATGACACCGCCGTTCACGAACTAAGTTTTAGACTCTCTATTGATGGCGAACTTGGCATGTTGCAGGCTTTTTACTATTTTTTTCTGAGAACAAGGCATATGTTTTCACAAGGAGATGCTTTTTTTTTTTTTAAATGAACAATTACCGGGAGAGTGCATGCAGTTTCGGTGATAAATAGGTTGTCTGAGTTTAGCTAGGTTTTCTTTGCCTTGATATGTTACAGGCGCTTTAACTTCTCCTCCTCGGAGTTTTGGGTTCGCGAAGTGTTCGGAACTGAGAAGATCGAGTCATCTCTTGGCAACTCCTAATAATTACAAAGAGACCTATACGTAACACTTTCTGAATGTTTTTCTCGCATGCTATAATGTCCAACTGTGCAGTGGTTATCAACTCTAACATGAGGCTCTTTCCTACAATTTTAGATTGAAATTCAAAACATTCCCATTAGCAAATGAGCAGCATTTTCTGGTTAAATGTACAGAACTAGAAACGGTTTCTCATATTTTCTAAAAAGAAGACAGTCTCCAGGCCATTCACAATTTTCGAAAATGAGTTTCGTCCTCAAAAGTTTTGGTCAGATAGAAAGCCGTTGAGGACGCGCTTTTTCGGGAAACGCAGGAAGTATTTAAGTCTCAAAGTCGTTGAGCCTCACCTTGTGATTTGCAAAACTGATGAAACGCTCTCAAATGGTTATTAAACATTACAGAGTTACATTCTTGCGACGAAATGTCTTTTCCTACAACGTGATTCGCTTATTTGGCGAATATTTTTCAGTATAGACTATTATAACACCAAGCGCTTCCAATTCTCGAGGAATTTTCAAAGAATCACGCAGAAAGTAAAAATAAAATCAGTCCCCCATTTCTCTTTTACCGCGTCTAAACGAACATATATGGAAATTTCACACCTTTTCTACCTTTGGAATTCCTTTGAAAACAATTGCCGTTACCAAGACTGTGGAACTTGATGTATTCAAGGTAAACGAGGTGGACAAAGCGAAATGGGAATGAAAAATATCAATATTGAGTTATTGACTGCCAATAGACCATTTTAGAGTTGTCTGCTCGGTGACCTGGCCTTTGAATGGCAGCGAGGCGGGAGGTGACCTTGTTTTCATACAGACCTCACCGCTTTTGTTGTGTAAATCAAGTTGTTCTAATGCTGACTAGGTGACTTGGGTACAAATTTATCTTCTATCTTGTTTAGGATTTCTTTACAGCATTATGGCTACGAAATCTGACTAGTCTAAATAGTTTAAAGAAAGTGCATTTTTGCTAGCAAGTCACTTAAAATAATCCGACAATATCCGGCATAGTTTGCAAGAGGAACTTCAAAGATTCTGGAGTTTCAACAATATGACCCAAAAGTATTATTAAAATGTTATAGAGTCGTCAGAAAATATTTCCGATAAATCTCCTGGAATTAACTCCCGATGTAGAGATCACAAAGTACAAAGATAGTGCATATGCATGTTTTAATTATCAACAACCGGTAATTTATTCGACTAAATAAGTATAAATTTATTTCCTAGGTTAATCATGGACGTCAAGTTGCATCTGTGCCTTTTGCTGAGTGTTTTTGGAGCCATTAGCTGGTAGGTATCAGAATTAAAGGACTGAAGAAAGTTATAGGAAACGCGTTTCTTAAAAGGGTCCGGATGATTATCGAACGTTTTCTTTCAGATTCCTCTATTATATCGCCAGATGCCACCAAATATCCAAAGATATAGGATTAAAATATTCTACGGGGTAGAATAGAACAAGTATTTTGGAGGAACTCTTCAAATTTAATTTCGAGACAGGATGTCAAAATTTTGGTAAACTTTTGAATCTCCGAGTTCATATCTTTTTGCTATCGAGTTTTTTTTACACGTACCCGGCCATGCTTATTTAATGTCATCTTTTTGCGTTTCAAACAATACTTGGGTTATATTCGAACCGATGTTTCAAAAGGTTTTGGATGCGTACAATACCACATGATTAAACTATCAAAACACTATTTACATGAAACAAACCAAGCTCTACAGTGTTTAAACAAGTTTGGCATCTTAAAAACCCTATATTGTTAATGATACTTCCAGTGTTTCAACGGATACCATCAAAATCTGTATACATTGCACTAAGCCGAGAGGGTTGGCAAGCAAATTAGGGAATTAGTGGGTGTTTCCTTAATGAAGCAGCAGATTTTCACATCTACATGCAGCATTAAAATGATTAAATCATTTCGTCTTGTCTCCTTTGTTCCAGCTCCCCAGCTTGCAAGAATCTGCTGTTTGGAGTGACAAATGGTAAACTCTACGCGAGAACTCCTCCCCAATATGCCAAAGACAATTGGCTTGGATCAGCCAGAGTAATAGGGACAGCGGGTTGGAATGACTTCCAATTCCTGTTCTTCCACCCAGATGGTACCTTATATGGTGTTTGGAATGGCAAGTTCTACAAGGGGCCACCTCGTCAGGGCTCCTGGGCCGCAGACTGGATCAAAAAAGCCACCCAGATTGGAAGTGGTTGGAACGCCTTCAAGTTCCTCTTCTTTGATCCTAAGGGAGTGCTGTATGGCGTTTATGGAAATAAGTTGTACAAAAGGTTCCCACCAACTTCCCGTCGTGACAACTGGATTAGATCCGCCACACTGGTGGGGTCAGGTCGATGGTCGGTCTTTCAGTTTCTCTTCTTCGACCCACGGGGAATCTTATACGGCGTGGAAAACGGCAAGTTTCTCAAGAGGGCTCCTCCCAAATTTGCGAGTGACAACTGGCTACGATCAGCCACACTCATTGGCACTGGCGGCTGGAATCGTTTTCAGTTCCTTTTCTTCATGGCTGATGGTGACTTGTACGGCGTTCACAGTGGCAGGTTCTACAAACGATCAGTCCCAACCCATAGAGGTGATAACTGGTTGCGCTCCGCGAAGATGATTGGCACAGGTGGCTGGTCTGTGTTCAAATACCTGATGTCGCCTCTGCAACAGTGCAGGCAGTAGATGGGAACACACATCGGATTAAAATATAGACTGTCAAACGTAACTGTAATGGTCACTAGATCAGTAAATGGTTTATGGGTTTCTTTCTTTGTACGAGTTAATACCAAGAAATAAAAGGGGAATGACGAACACTTTTGAGATCTTTCCTTTATACTCGTCTTTCGAGTAAGGTTGTAATGAACACATAGATCTGGAACGTACCCAGTAGATGACCTCCCTACTAAGCACCATCCAAGTCTTGGTTGCCTCATTTCTTGCACTCCGCGCTAGCTCTCACTATAGCCACGGCCTATTCTGCAAGTTAGGAATACCAACACTCGAAATGCCAGATGAAGCATGTGACCATTATCTGAATTTAAATTAAGATTTGTCAGTTGAAGAAATTGTAGTGGGAGCAGAATTAAGACTATGCCAGAAATAATATCGTTTAAAAGGAATTAGCACTTGCAGTTTATATGACTTCAAGCAGCTCTGTCAATATCAACACTCATAAAAGCAATTGTCTGATCAAAATCTTATTTGAATTGATTATTGGGGTCCCCAAAATAATCCCGTAGGCTTTAGCGCGGCCACTTAGGCTCTTGCCCACAGCTGTTTTCCAGTGGAAGCTATTGGATACATCTTGTTATCTTGGGAGAGCGTGTTACCTAGCTTTGGAACGGCCTAAGTACTATAACCCGAGGCAAGTGGCGTTTGCTCATGAGTTTTGAAGAGGTATATTTTTGGATGCAGCAGAATTTGCTATTTCCCTTCGAAAATACCTTTTAATTATCCACAGGTATTCTTACTAAACGCTTCGCTATTACGTTATAAGATGGAGCCATTCATTATTAAAATTTCATGACAAGGTTTCAGCCGAATTAGACAGATGTAAGTAAATAGCGTCACCATATTTCGCGTTTATCAGTGTAAGCGCCATGCTCATCGCAGAACAGAATATGCAAAATTAAGACGATGACTTAAGAGGTTTGTGCATTAGAGCCAAGACTCGAATAATGCTTGTCACAATTACTTCACAGAATTGTCAAATGTCACAACACCTTTAACTGTTAAGATTCGACTAGAGACTTGCCACAACTCCTTGAATTGTTTCGGCTTAGACCGAAATTTAAAAGCACACCTCATAGTTGTCAAGAATACATATCGTCCTTGGAAGCTTGAATTAACACTTTTCACCAACGCAATATATCTCACATTTTTCAATTTTAGCAGATTTAATCGTATCTCGAGCAAGAAGGCCACTTTTTCCTTGTATCTATTTGTACTGTACTATAAGGCAGAGTGGTCGGATTACAGAGCTGAATTCTACAGACTATTGTGGCGGTGGAAATTCGAAATGAGAGAGAAAGACCCACTGATTCTAAAGTGTTTCATCTGTTCATACCAACATTACTCAACCGTTCGCTCGCTTGATCACGCTTAGTTGCCGACGGTATACCACTGGTTCAGCGGTATTACCTAGACTTACAAAAGGATTGTACAGTGGAACCCAACCTCAGCTCGTTCCCAGGGTCTTTTCCTTGGCTTGGGAAAAGACCCTGGGAACGAGGTTGAGTGGAACCCCGCCTTACGACCACCCCGTGAATACGGTCACGTTATTACGGCCATTTTATTCAAGCCCGAAAAAAAGCTCAGTCAGTCATTTTCTTATTTAAAGAACTCTTTAATATGGCCACCCCGTCAATACGGCCAGACTTTTGTGGCCCGTTGTTGACCGGAATAACGGGGTTCCACTGTATCTTTATCCTAGTGATTAGGAAAAACCGTTACACTGTATTTGGAGCTTAATTGTGACTAGTACAGTTATATTGGTTCGGTCCTTCGTGTCGTGTTTACTTCTGTATAGGTTGTCACACCTTGCAAATTCTGTTCGAGTTGTTATTGGTGCCAAGTCAAACTTCGGTCTTCATAAATCTAAGTCATGTTCAAAATTACGTTAATAATTCATGCAGCACAAGAGAAGATAAAAGAGCTCTACATCACTCAAGTGTAACACAAAGCAAGGTAAAACATGCAAACCCACCACCTGGAGTTAAGTGGCTTGTATTAATTTAGAGAAAAAATAATACGAACTGAAACGATTGCAGGTAAATGTGTCACACCTGTCTAAGTCTCCCTATTAAAAAACAACAAAATCTGGACTTTTGGCGAGCATAATGTGCAAAGGATAGTAAAGGACTGTTTACGAGGAGAGGGTTACCCTAGCAAGAGGGTTACCCTGCCAAGCGGGTTACCCTAGCACTCACACATTCCCTCTTTTTTCTTCATCGTGTTTACAAGGCAGCTAGGGTTACCCGGGTAGGCGGGTTACCCTATCTGCGTGCTAGGGTTACCCTAGCAGGCGCGTCAACTTTTACCCCTGTAAATACTCCAGGTAGGGTTAACCTGCCAACCCGAGTTAACTTTCTAATTGTTTCCAGACTCCTTGCATTAAGTTGTCCCGGGTTGTAGGGTTACCCTACCTGTGAAATTTTGCTTGTAAACCCGAATTTCGTTTGCCCTCCAGCTAGGGCTAACCCGCTTGCTAGGGTAACCCTCCTTGTAAACAGGCCCCAAGACGTTAAACCAAGGTTAAATTACCTACAAGGTAATCAATAAAAATGATGAACTGGTCTGGTTTTTTTTATTTTTATTATTATTTTTTTGTAGTATCATGGCATGTCTTGAACTCTTTGGTGTCGTGAACCATGATGGCAAATTCTACGTGAGGACTTCACCACAATGTGCCAGCCCCGACTGGCTTGGAACAGCTAAAGAAATCGGAACAGATGGCTGGAACGACTTCGAACATCTATTCTTCCATCCAGACGGTACCTGATATGTGTTATGAATGACAAGTTCTACAAGGGGCCGTCTCCTCAAGGCTCCTCGGCTAGAGAGTGGATCAACCAAGCCACCCTTATCGGAAATGTGGGACGGAGGTGCTTCCAGTTCCTTTTCTTTGATCCTGACGGTATACTGTATGGTGTTTACAAAAGTAAGTTTTATAAGAGGCTCCCGCCTGGATTCCCAGGGACTGACCCTAAATGGCTTGGTATAGCATCACTTGTGGGATCCGACGGGTGGTCAATCTTCAAATTCCTCTTCTTCGATCCAATAGGCACCTTGTACGGAGTCATTAAAGGAAACCTGTATCGGCGTTCTCCTCCCACGGATCCAGCTAACTGCTGGTTAGTAACCCCTTCACAAATTGGCACAGGGGGCTGGGAGGATTTTCAGTTTCTCTTTATCATGCCGGATAACGACTTGTACGTCGTCCGCCAAGACAAATTTTTCAAGCGATCACCCCCAACCCATGGAAACAGTGATGATTGGGTGGGCTCCGCAGAAACTATTGGCTCAGTTGGCTGGTCTATGTTCAAATTTCTGATGTCTCCTGTACCCGGTCGACACTAAAACTGTGTGGCTCGCAGACGAGAACTTGAAATGCAGTGAAATGCAGTGACAATCGTTATGATGACGGTGACAATCAACAAACAAATGTGAACGTCACTGTCTGGCTTTATGACAACCTCATTAGTAACGACCAGTTCAGTTCTTTAAAAATTACAGTCCTCTGACGAAAACCATCTCATGCGCAATCTGCCTTCCAAGGAATATCAGTTGGACAAACACATGCCAAAGACATACTATGTTCTGATACAAATTCCTTTCAACAATTTTTTGTTCTTTTTTATCGTTTTTGTTTATTCACCCTCCCCCCCCCCCCCCCCCCCCCCCCCCCCCCCCCCCCCCCCCCC